AAATGGCTATGGCACTGACCTCCGACAGTCTCTCCCCTACTCCGTTTCTCCTGGAAGCTAAAAAGTTTGGGCAGGAAGAGTCTCTAGCATTCTCGAACTCAGTGATGATGGCTTGGGTGGAGGGTGGGGGTGTCAGAGATTCAAGAAACCTCTTAGAGGGCTGGAATCCACTGGTGAATACGGGGAGAAGATTCTGGGTGGATGTAAGTCTTTAGGCTGGTGCTCCAGAGTGCCTGCAGGGTTAGGGGGATATGGAAATGTCTTTGGAAGTCGTCGGATTGACACAGATGATGGGTGGGTGGGGGACAGGTGGGGAAGAGATCATTCTGCCCAGCCTCCTGCTTCCGTGCAGGTTCTCTTCTCCGTAGGGAAGAACATTCTCTGAATTGGGAAGAGGAGGACGACATGGGGCGCGCGGCCTTGGGTGCCCTTCTGCGTCCCCCTTCAACCATCGCGTTCAGCACGCATGCACCACGATCGCGCATCCTCAACCCGGGGCGGGGCGCCCTGCCGCCCTCCTCCTCCCTCTCGCCCCCGGGCTCTCCGCTCAGCTCTTGGTTCCGCCTCACCAATGCGCAGGCGCAGGGCGGGCTGGAGCTGGCGAACGCGCCCTCTCGTGGCTAACTGACGAGTCGCACCCTTTGTTGTTGCGCTGGGGGCGACGAAGAGGATGGGGGAGAAAGATGTGGGTGGAGCCTGGGAAGCAGATGCGAGAATCAGATCACAGTGACGAAAATGCCTTTCCTTTGTCCCTCACCACCACGTATAATCCCCTGTTTTAGATGCAGATAAAGAAAATATGGTCCTCAAAGATCAAGAGACTTAGGGAGACAGGCTCATGGATCCTGGAGTGGGATGAGAGAGTTGGGGATATCGCGCATGCATTCATTCATGCAGGGTTCGTTGGGAGGGAAGAGACAGGGTAGGAAGCTGGGGAGATGGACGCGGATGGCAAAGAAGCGAGGACAGAAAACCAGCTGGGCCAGGGCAGGACTGGGGTCGCAGTAGAGAAGCAGAGGCGATGGAAGCTCTGGCTGAGCCTGCAGAGACAAGGCTGAGAAACACACAGGCAGAGACCTGACCCTTCTGTATGGTCCCTCCCCTCCTGGCCGGATGCTCCCACTGGTGAGGAGAGCTAAACCGAGAGCTAAAGACCGGCAAAGTGGACACCAGGAGGGACACTAGTCACATGGGTTAAAGCAAATATATTTAAACCATAAATTCACAATTAAACTAATAGTGAAAAGAAAGCTAATTAGTCACAGTTTGGAGGATGCTAGGAAATCAGCCTATTATTGTGAAACTGGTCAATACAGGAAACAAATCAAGCATTTACCTTGTTTTTTATGTTTTTTTTTTTTTTCTATATGAACTGTGCCATTCAGGTAACCAAATCATTAGTGAAGGGCAGTATCATGATGATGATGATGATTAATTTAAGTACCCATGGGCACTCTACCACTGAGCTATATCCCCAACCCTTTTTATTTTTTTATTTTGAGATAGGGTCTCACTAAATTGCTGAGGCTGACCTCGAACTTGAGACCCTCCTGCCTCAGTCTTCCTAGTTGCTGGGATTACAGGTGTGTGCCACCACACTTGGCTCAGTTTCTCTACCTAGAAGTATTCCAGCTAGTAAAGAAAAGAAAGATCAAATTTTAATATCATCATTTTCCAAAGGGGAGGAAAAAACATCTAAACTAAAAAAGCTGATGGTGCATGATCTGCCTCCAGATGGAAGACACTTGCAGCACCTATAAAGTGGTTCTGCAAAAGAAAATTGAACCTAAATCTGATCAGGCCTCTGGATCCAGCTACAATGTACAGGAAATACCATTTACAGAAAGTGCAGAGGTCAGAGGAACATGTTAAAGAACACCAGAGAGTTGCAATCAGCAAAATCAGAAAACTGCAGAAGAGCTGACTCTTTCAAGGAATGAGAGAGTGCTAGGGAAAGGAGGGAAGGAAGAAGAGAAGCCAGGAGGAAGGAGGAGGGAGGGTGGAGAAGAGAAAGAGATGGACAAGGAACTTATGGATTGGAGGGGTTTTTGTTTTTGAGCTTGCATTTATTTATTTATTTAGGTGGTACTGGGGATTGAATCCAGGGCCTCACTCATGCCAGGAATTTGGAGATACTTAAAAGACATACAATCAGTTGTATGTCCATCTTATTTAGGTTCTATTTCAAACAAATACATTGTAAAAAGAAAAAAAAAAAAAGAAGAAGAACTTAGCTGGGTCCCTAGGCATGTGCCCTTAGTCTCAGCTACTTAGGAGGCTGAGGTAGGAGGATGGCTTGAGCCCAGGAGTTTGAGATCAGCCTGGGCCACATAGTGAGACCTTATCTCTTGAAAACAAACACATGAAATTTGTATGAAATTGAACATTGAAAGTTTGATATTGGGCTGGGGATGTGGCTCAAGCGGTAGCGCGCTCGCCTGGCATGCGTGCGGCCCGGGTTCGATCCTCAGCACCACATACCAACAAAGATGTTGTGTCCGCCTAAAACTAAAAAAGCAAAATAAATATTAAAATTCTCTCTCTCTCTCTCTTTAAAAAAATAAAAGAAAAGAAAAGAAAGTTTGATATTAAGGGGATTGTTGATTATATTAATAATTTATTATGTTTTGTGATTATGTTAAAAGGAGCCACTATCTTTTACAGATATGTACTGGAACATTGACAGATGAAATCAAATGGGAGAGGGCAATTGGAAGGAGCATAGATGACAGTAGATTGGCCACAAGTCAATAAATACATAGACGCTATTATATTATTCTGTATACTTCTTTTTTGGGGGAGGTACTAAGGATGGAACTCAGGGGCACTCCACCACTGAGTCACATCCACAGCCCTATTTTGTATTTTATTTAGAGACATAGTCTCACTGAGTTGCTTAGCACCTCACTTTTGTTGAGGCTGGCTTTGAACTTGCCATCCTCCTGTCTCAGCCTCACAAGCCACTGGGATTATAGGCTTCCACCACCCAAGCCCAGCTCTGTATGCTTTTTAAAAACTCCCCAAATAAGAAGTTTAAAGACCCTATGACCCCGCCCATTCCAGCCCTAGGCTTCAACAGAAAGTGCTATGTGTTACAACAGCAAGTTGGGATTCAGGCAGCTCTGAGGGTAGGGAATCCATCTGGTAATCTAAGGGACTGAGGAGGCTTCCTGGTTACTTTTAGCTGGCTCCAGAACAGTCTCTGGCTCTTCTGAAAGAGGGCAGTCTTGGGGAGAATCAGAGGGGAGTTGGCTACAGCTTTTCCATTGAGGTAGGGTGACCTCCTCAGGCCTGGTGACCCTGGGTGCAGGCACTTCTGCCTTAAGACAGCTGAGGGTGTGAGTGTGTGGCTCCAAAAATAGCAGGGGCGACAGCAGGGGGGAGGGAGAAGAGTCACATGGGGAAGCTCAGGGGCTGAGGCTTGGGCAGCTGCCCAGCTCGGGCACCTCCCCTTGCCCCAATGGCCCTCTGCCTCCAGAATTGCTCTTCCTCTCTGCCTTCATCTTTGAGAAGTCAGAGAGATGTCAAGGTGATTCAGGGACAAACACCTGCCTGAGATCCACAGCAGTTGCTGACTCTGGAATTTGGTAGCTCTCCAGAGACAGGTGAGGTGGTCAGGTGGAAAGAGAGAGGACAAAGATGAAGCAACCTACCTGCTAGTCCACACGCCAAGCCCATCTGCAGGCCCACACCTGGAGGCCCAATCCAGGGCAAATCCAGACGTCCTTGCCCGGGTTGCTAGGTTGTGGGGTGAGGTGGGAAGCACCTTTCACTTTGAGGCCTGCAGGCTTGCTTACCTGGATACCAAGGACAGTGGAACACTGGCAGCCCTGGGGTCCTGCCTCCTTCTCCAGCACCTGGAGGGGGGGGGGGCTCAGCCTTCTCTGAATGCAAGGCTTTGGGAAAGAAGAGCCCCCTGGACCAAGGTCCTTTGGCAGATACAGGAGGAAGGAAGCATGCCCTGCCAGCAAGCACCTCAATGGCTGCTTTGATGGAGCTGGGCACTGGGCTAAGCACCTATCATACATTCAACTCATCAGCAGCATGTCTTGGGAAGTAATACAGTGCTGTGCCTTAGTATTACCATCTGTAAAGTGGAGGCAGTAGTAATGCTGCCTCATAGAACCACCATGGTATGCAACAGGGTAATGGTTGTAAACCTATGTGAACCCTCTAGCACAGGGGCAGGCAGTTCAGCTCTCCTGACTTTGTGTGCAAGTGTCACACAGCCTGGACTTTGCTCAGCTCTGCCTCTTCGGCAGCTGGTACCTGGTAGATCCGGTGTTACAGATGTGCTGCAAACATGATCATGCAGAAGTTCCACAATGACGCTGAGAGGCGAGCACTATTCATGCAGGCTTGTACTTGTGGACAGAGGCCTAAGAGGGCAAGTGACTCACTCAAGGCTACATCTTGGGGAGCCTCAAGGTGGGGCATATGCCCAGACAAGCATGCCTCCAAGCCCATTCAGGTAGCCCCAGCTGCATGAACCAGAGAGGGCGCCTCCTCTGCTCAGAGACAGGCTCCATGCAAAGCTTGCTCCTCCCAGACCTCCACACTGGGGATGCTTGGCCAGGAAATGAGCACAGGGTGAACAGACACTTCCATTTGCTGTTTAGAAAGCTGTCACCCTGTCCCTTACACATACTAGTTGCTCAGACCTGTGTCAGGTCAGGGATAGGAAAGTATAGTGATCATAGTCCCCTAGGAGCCCAGAGCACCCATATCACCCCAGCTGTGACCTTGGATTGGACACAGGGATGCACACAGGAGCTAAGGGGAACCTTGCTTCAGAGAGGAGGGAACTCGTGCATTGAGCCAAAGTTGGCTGGTTTGGATGGTGAGGTGGAGGGAGGGAGGGAATTTCAGGCAGAAATTCCCTGGAGGAGCCTGTGTGTGTGTGTGTGTGTGTGTGTCTCTATAGTGTAGTGGAGAGATTTAGACAGGATGGACCTGAAAGCTACTAGGAACTCAAGAACAATGGGGGCCATTAGGATTTTAGAAGATCTCAAGTAGGCAGGTGGGTGGTTTAGAAATCACTGTGGCTACGGGGAGGGGGCGACCGACTGGAAGGACACTGTGAGGAGGGTGTCCACCCTAGATTCAGTGCCTGCTCTAGGTGGTAATGGGGAGGGCCCCCGAGGCTGAGGCTGGGACCCAGCTGCTCTGGGCCACCTCCCTTCGTCCCTCCCCCCTCCCTCCCTCTTTCCCTCTCTCCCTCCCTCCTCTTCTCCCTGCTTCTGTCTCTGTCACTCACAGGGGCCGGCCAGGCTGGGGCAGCCATGGTAGCAGCACTAATCTGGATTCCTCTCCTTGTGGGCAAGTTGGGGACTTTCTCAGGGGGAGGTCCAGGATGAAGGGTGGGTTTTCGGATGATGAGATGGAAGAATGGGGGTCCTTAGGGGAGGATCTGTGGAGGGCAAGGTAGGGCCTGAAGGGCTCTGGGGTGCTGGCATCAAGGCAGGCCAGTATCCAGGGGCTGGGAGCTGGCTCCGGGGTGTAGGGCCTGGGAGGTCTGAGGCCTGAAGTTGTCCGGGGGCTGAGGTGGGCCTGAGTGCAGAGGCCATAGGGTCATGCATGGGCCCTTTAATGGGCTGGCTGGGCTACCGCTTCTTCCAGGCCCAGGCTAAATTTGGCCCTAAGAGGGAGGGTGGGGCAGCTGAGGCATGTCCTCTTTGTTAGATTTCCCATGGCCTCTAGTGTAAGCCCTGATCTTCCCTGCATATTAGGGAAGGCAGGTGGGGGTTCGGGGTTCCAGATGGCTCCTTTGAAGGCTCCTTCATCCCACTGTCCCTACCAGCCTCCTAGACATTCAGCATGGGGTTCATTTCCAAGTGTCATTAACAGATGCACCCCACATACCCCTCTCAGTCAAACACTAGTCCCTGCCCACTGCGACCCCAACAGGGGCCTAGATTGTTGAGGGGGGAGCCCTCCCGTCAATCCAACACGTCTTCCTTTGCTCAGAGACAGCAGAGGCAAGGGCTTGGTGGGGAATGGAGCTTATGCTCTGACAGGACTGAGGCCATCCGTGTGTTTGGGGTTTGTGGGGTGCCCTCAGGTCTCCTGGCAGGACTGGGGGGCACGGAGGCCCAGCAGACCACACTTCACCCGCTGGTGGGTCGTGTCTTTGTGCACACACTGGATCATGCCACCTTCCTGCGTCTTCCGGAGCACATCGGTGAGAGACCTGGTGGGCACCTGACGGGCTGGGGGGTGCCTGGCCCTGGGCTCTGGTCAGGCATCCAATCCCCTCTTCTTTCCTCCACCAGCTGTCCCACCCACCGTCCGCATCACCTACCACGCCCACCTGCAGGGACACCCAGATCTGCCCCGGTGGCTCCGCTACACCCAGCGCAGCCCCTACAACCCTGGCTTCCTCTATGGTACCGCCACCCCAGAAGATCGTGGGCGCCAGGTCATCGAGGTGCCAGCAGGGACCCCCAGAACCTCCCGGGGGCGGGTCACCTTGGCCTCCTAGGGGCAGCCTTACCCACGGGAATTGAGTTCCTTCATGGTCATTGACATAGAATTTCTATTACCTCTAACTGAGTTTCCTTATCAGTCTTCTCTGCCAGGCCCAGCTGTGCCACGGTCCCCGATTAACCCCACATCCCCCTTTTTACCCCCCAGGTCACAGCCTACAACCGGGACAGCTTTGATACCACTCGGCAGAGGCTGGTGCTGCTGATTGGGGACCCGGAAGGTATGGTCAGCTTCCCAGCTAATGCCAGTCTTGAGGAACCTCCTGGGAGGAGTGGTGGTTGTGGAAGGGAGAGGCTTGGACAGTAGGAGAGAGTGGGGGGCCAGGAAGGATGTGACATTGGTAGCTTTCAGGGAATGAGCGCTGGCTGGGGGTCCAGTCTCAGGCGGTGCTATTGTCCACGCTGCCCACAGACGGTGAGGCTGGGTGAGTCATTGAGGCCATGGGGGTCGGGCCAGGGCGTTTGGCACCTGTGAGGTTCAGGGTGCTGGGGGCAGGAAGGCGTGTGTGGGGATATGGGAAGGAGCTTAGGGGAGGCTTGGGAAAGATGTGGGGGTGCAGAACCGGGGGCTAGGGCAGCCTAAAGTGTTCACCTGGCTTCCCAGGCCCCCGGCTGCCTTACCAAGCTGAGTTCCTGGTGCGTAGCCATGATGTGGAGGAGGTGCTGCCCTCGACGCCTGCCCACCGCTTCCTCACGGCCTTGGCGGGGCTCTGGGAGCCCGGGGAGCTGCAGCTGCTCAACATCACTTCTGCCTTAGACCGTGGGGGCCGTGTCCCTCTTCCCATTGAGGGCCGGAAGGAAGGGTCAGTGTGCAGTCCAGCAGGGCTTCCTAAAGGACAGGCTGTCCACTTGGGATCAGGGTGATGGGCATGAAGCAGGGACTCCCCCTAATTTCCAGGTAGGGCTTTGTCCCCACTGCACATCCTCGCCATGTCCGTCCATCTCCTCCTGGAGTCACACGGCCATCCACTCCCCTCCAGCCAACCCTTGCTCCCTTCTTGTCCTTCGTGGGCCTAAACCCCAGTTACCCTGAATCCTGCACTTCCTGCAGGTCCATCCAAGAACATCCCTGGGGGGATAGAGTGGGGTGCTCTATGTCCTGTCACCGTTACCCCAGATCTCAGGGAGAGGAGGCTGGGACCTCTCCTGCTGGGCCCCAGCTGCACCATGCTTCTGCCCCACCCTCCATCCCATCCCCAGGTCCCAGCCTACAATCAGGTCAGCTTCAACACCCCCATCAGAGTGGTGCCCAGGTGCCCCCCGCACCACCACCACTCTGCTGACTTTGGCTTTCACTTGTGCCCAGGGTGTACATCAAGGTGGGCTCTGCCTCACCCTTCTCTACCTGCCTGAAGATGGTTGCCTCCCCTGACAGCCACGCCCGCTGTGCCCAGGGCCAGCCTCCACTTCTATCCTGCTACGACAACCTGGCACCTCACTTCCGTGTTGACTGGTGCAATGTGTCCCTGGTGAGGAGTGGGTCATTTATTTCCATTTTTATTCAGGTGGTTAAAACCAAGCTTCTGCTAAATCAAGAAGAGATAGCTCCCTCTTGCTGGATTCCCCTGCATGCCAACTCTGTGCCAGGTATCTTACACTGTCTCTCCTCTTAGACAAATGCAAACTATCCTGGAGTTATCATGCTCAAGACACAGAAGCTCATCATTTGCCTAGATGATAGCTTCTTAGGGATTTGAGTACCTATATGGATGAAAGAATAACCCCTTTGATTTGAGGTAAAGAGGAGATCTAGTGTAGAAAAACCAGGGGGCCTAAAGTGTTCACCAATTAACAAGGTTTCACAAGCCTTCCCAAATGTCTGTTAAGACAGGTGCTCCATTAATCCCAATGATCCTGCACCCAGGTAAGCAGTGAACTAGCTCCAGGCCTGGGGCTGGGGCATGGTCCCCTCAAGTTTCTCCCTCCATTCCTGCTGCTTCTCACTCCAGCCTTTCTGACTTCTCCAGCTCGGTGTGTATTGTATATCCCTGGTCTCAGTTTCAACTTTAGTTTGTGCTCTGTCTTGTTCACACACCACACACACACACACACACACACACACACACCCTGAAGTTCTACCTTCTGCCACAAGAGGGCAACAGAGTCTACGATTCACATCTGGAGTCTCCAGCTCCTAGTGTCCAGATCTGCCCAGCCCAAAAGCTAAATCCAGTAATGACTCCCCACAGGGGAGTCCCCAAACCCTTTGCCCACTGAGAGCTTCTGTGTGACAGCTTTGTCTGCTTCCCTCTGAGGTGCCTCTTTGCATACACACCTGCAACAGAAGCAGAGAGTTTCCAAGTAATAAACCAGGGAGGCTCACTACAGTGCTTTGGCATGTTAAGGGTCCCTAGAGATGCCAATTCAGGCTAGAAACCACTGGTGCTCTCTGTTCCTGGGAGTGGACCAATAGACAGGGACTCATTCATGGTCCCACAATCAGGGACTTGTCATTGATGACATCTGAGCACTCAGTATGTGCTGGGCATTGTACACTAAGCATGATTCAGCCTGTTACCCCGGGAGGCAGGTACACTGTGATCACTCTGAGTTTACAGATGAGGAACCCAGGCACAGAGGCAAACCTCCCCAGTGAACCACCAGACTGAGTCAGGATTCAAACCCAGGCAGTCAGACCCTAGAACTGGACGCTAACCATTGTATAATCCTACTTCTCCTAGCATTGGCCTCTCGTCTCCTGGTCAAGTGTTTGTCCTGCTAGTCACATGAGCTAGGAGCAGCAGGCTGGAAGAATCCTTGTGGTTGCATAGGGGCATATAGAGTAGAGCCCTGTAACCTCTGACCTGTCCCCTGGAGGTTGCTGTGTCCAGCCAGCAGCTCCTGGGTCAGCCGTGGGCTCTCTGTGCAGGTGGATAAGTCAGTGCCAGAGCCGGTGGATGAGGTGACCACCCCAGGCGACGGAATTCTGGAGTATGACCCATTCTTCTGTCCACCTACGGAGGCCACAGCCCAAGAGTTCCTGGCAGATTTCCTGGTCACTCTCCTGCTGCCTTTGCTGGTGGCCCTTCTGCTTACCTTGCTGCTGGCCTATGTCATGTGTTGCCGGCGAGAAGGACGGTGAGTGTGGGGAAAAATGGAGGGCAGGGTGGCTCTCACATCCAAGGGGCCCCTGTGGCTCTTGGGCTGTGTGGGACCCTCTCAAAGAGTGAGGTTCTGAGCTAGAGGAAGAGTGAGGGGCCCCTTTCTGGGCAGCTGGGACTCTAGGCCTGCCTAGCCTGGGACCAGATTATGATGAACACCCACATTGCAGCCCCGGGGACACCAGGGGTGAGCTCAGAGCAGGACTAACCCTCTCCCTTACTCTTCCACAGATTGAAGAGAGACCTGGCCACCTCTGAGTAAGTAGGAGAAAGCTGGGGGCTGGGTGGGAACCCCCCTTGACTGTCCCATTGGGCTCCCCAACCTCCATAAGCAACAGAGACAAACTAGATTACTCTTGAGATGGAGGGGGTTGCCCTTGACCTTGGAGCCCTGGCCCCAGGCTGAGTGGGTGCTGGGCCTGATCTGGCATTATTTCTGGTCATAGAAGAGTCTGCTATAACAAAGGGCAGGGGGACCTGTTACTGTCCTGGGGAAAGTGCTTGAGAATCTCTCAGGTGGGCGCGCGCACACACACACACACACACACACACACACTCTCCAGGCTGCACTCCACTACACAATCACTCCATCAGTCTTTCTAGCCTCAGATTCTCCCCGTGCAAGGACCTAGATGCAACTGTGACAGCTATGGACGCTTTCGGTTCTGCCTGTCCTTCCCCAATCCATCTCATTTTGTCCCTGGTCCCCCTACACAGCTTTGCCCCTCCTTCCCAAACCCCAGCCCTCTTCCCCTCTTGCTCCCTGAGCCCCAGAGAGTCCAGGAGGCCAGAGAGGAGTAAGTTGGGATTCCTTTTTATTCTCACTGCCCTGAGCCTGTGGCACCGGGCACTCCTGCCTGCTTGGCTGGCCTGCCCCGTTAATGGCGGCGGCATTTGGCCACCCTGCGAACCCCTTTGAAAAGCCGCTTGTGGCCCTGTTTGGAGCCCTGTAGCGACCTGCGCTGCCCAGACCGGCGCTGCCCAGATCTGTCGTGCCCCGGCCGCCGCCGCCGCCGCTGCTGCTGCAGTCTCTTGGCCTTAAGCTTGGAGGCCCGCTTCTTGCCCAGGCGGAAGGAGCCCGAGGTTCCCCTGCCGGTCACCCGCTGGAGCATGCCGTTGTCCACCAGCTTCTTGAGCTCACGCTTGAAACGCCAGATGTTGTGGGCCATGTTGTAGCCGTTGTTGGTGACAGCTTTCTTCAGAGCCGCCAGGGATACGCGGCGGCGTGTCCCCTTTTCTGCCATAGCCCTCATGATCACCTTGGACATGCTGAGCTTCCGGTGGCCTTTGGGGGAGGTGCAGTGTGCGTTCTCACTCTTGTTAGGGGCTCCTGATGCGCTGGCCTGCTGGCCTCCACCCATGGCAGCGTTTGAAGCCGAGGGTACGGATGGGGACTGCAGCAAGGTGACTTTCTGCATCTCTCCCTGGGATGGCTGAAGGGAGCTAGGTGCAGGGACCTCCAGGGTGGAGGCTGGAAGTCTCCACTGTGCCGCTCTGGATGGTGGGTGAGCTGTGTCCTGGCTCCTGTTCTCCTCAGAGGCTTTCTTGAAGGGCTTTGGCTTCGCCTTGCCCTGGGTGGCTAGAAGGAGGACCAAGGATGATCACCCACGGTTGGCCTCCGCAGTCTTGTGCTGTGGGGTCAGGGGGGTGGTGGGTTTATCTCTGTGGTGACCTCAGGGAGGCATTGTGAGGCCACCAGAATCCTGCAGAGGTCACAGTGGCCCCATAGTTCCCTCCTGGGCAGGGTAGACAGGAGGAGAGCCTGAAGTGTGGGTATTTGGCCTTCCAGGTGCCCTGTGGGTGAGGGCTGTGTCTTCTGGGGACCACATGGAAGGGTCCAGCCCAGATTTGCACTCTTATGTACCTGTGCCCGAGAGGACTGCAGGGTGTCCTCAGCCCTCAGCTTTAAACCACCGGCTTGATCTCACCATCTCTGCTCACTGGGTGTTTGTTCCTCTGAGTCGGGAGAATATAAACATTTAAACATCAGAATTATACCAACATAATTTTTATGGGGAATGTGCTTTCCAGTGTAAGCAGAAATGAAAATCCTTGATCTATGTAAGTCGATTTTATTCCTCAAACAACTTTCTATGCAAAGCAGTCAAAGGGCTTTGCTTTTATTTTCTGTGTTCATTGTTATTTTACAGACTCCCCCCCAACCCGGTAGTTGAGATCAATGATTTTCCATATAAATTTCACAGGGAGGATTTCATTCCTCAGTTTTGGTGGCGGGGGGTGGTGATGGTGGTGCCAAATTTGATTAATTGTCTCTGTTGTGATTTTGTCTTGTGACCCGTCTTTTCTTTGCTTTCTGCTTTGGGTCAATTATGTAGCTCTGATATTGTCGGGGAAATCTGCTTCCCTGGTCAATCTGGAATCAATAACCAATTTTGCCAAGTGTGATATTAGCCTTTATCATCTTGGGCTTTGTGCTGATTTATTTCCACAAAATTCCATTTTTCCGCTTTGTTCAATGTCTGCCATTTTTCCAAATTATCCACAAATTGTGATTCTGCGGCCTATTTTTCACCTCTATCAGATTTAACTGGTAACAAACTCCTCCAGGCCCCAAAGACACTGTGCCGGACGCACAGCATACAGGGTCACGTGTCAGCTGGGTGAGACCTCGGGCCACGTGTGTGAATGCCGGTCTGCACGTCCCTCTGTTCTAGTGCTGATGTGGAAGGCCCTGGGGGGGAAGGCACCGAGGGGCCTGGCATCTGCTTTGGCTCTAAGAAAATATCCCCAGAATATTTTTCCACCTGTGTGTTGCCAGAGTAAGGAGCCCGGATGTGGGGCTGGGGTGGGAGGGACCCACCGAGGAGTCCCTCCCTCCCAGGCGTCACTAAGTGGCTCTCTACCTCAGCACCCACACACGTCTTGTCTTGCTCTCTCCCCTCAGCCTCTCCTTGCTCAGGAATGGAAAATTGTGTTTTGTAGAACTCCATTTGCCAAATTCCAGACTCAAGAGCTCACCTTAACCTTCCCCTGGCCTTAGACAGCACTTCTTCCCCTGACTGGGTCCCACTCCCCCCTGGGGACTGTGGCCCATTCTGTGTGAGGTGGCACACGTTTCTGTAACTCCTCAGGCTCTAACTGGGGCCCTCACTGAAACTAAGACAGGGCTGGGGACGATTTTCCCTCCCCCACCTGATCAGTAACTTGGTGGCAAGTGAGGTTTCGCTTCAGCCTGCCCAGGACCCCAGCCACCCTTAAGAAAATCAATTCTTATTGTTTAGAATGAGAAGTCCCTGCTCTGAACCAGCAGGAAACCAGGTAGTCCGGGGAAATGTCACCACGCTGGGCCAACAAATATGGATGGGTTTGTGTAAAAAGGGCTTGGACACACCCCTGGGGCAAGGGTCCCATAATCATAGATACTGCTGGCTACAAGCCTGACCAGAGGATGGCCCGGGTGATTTTCCTGGATTAACTGGTTTAATACATACAACTATATCGCAGGTGAGGAAATAGAGGCACAGAGGGGGTTGTCCTTTGCCCCAAGGTCACTTAGCAGTAAGCATTGGAACCCAGGTTCCAACCCAAAGCTGGTCCTCCTGTTTAACCGTGGTGCTACCCAGCTCCTCAGAAGAACTGAAACTCGGCCCTGCAGCAGAAAGCAGGCAAGTGAGGGCATCAGATGAAAACAAGGCTGAGTCTTCTGAGGAGGACCTGAAGCTAGAGCTCAGGAAGGACTTCCCCCACAGGCGTAGCCGTTCAGTACTGCTGGGACTTCCAGCGGCTGAGGATGGAGCCTGAGGCTGGGCGTAAAGGAGCCTTGGTCTGAAACAGACAGGGACAAGGGCCAGTGATGGGGTAGGCTGAGCTGGGGCTGGGAGGCGGGGGTCAGGATATAAAGGGGCCAGAGAGCAGCCTGAGGAGCCAAGTGATGAGATGCCCGTGTCTCAGCAGGACATGGGGAAGGTGTTCCGGGAAGGGAGACAGGTTGGCAAAAGTAGGAAGTGAGAGAAGGCCAGGGAGACGGTAGGTTTACCAGACGGACAAAGAGACAGGAGGGAAGGGAGACGGTTAGAAGATCTGTGTTTGGAATGAGTACTGAGAGAAGGAGCTGAGTGCTAGAAGGGACCAGGAGTCATCAGAATACAAGAGCAGAATGCAGTCAGGCTTGGCAGAGCACACCTGCAAGACCAGTAACTCAGGAGGCTGAGGCACGAGGATTACAAATTTGAGGCCAGTCTCAGCCATGTAACAAGTCCCTAAGCAACTTAGCGAGGCCCTGTCTCAAAATAAAAAATAAAAAGGACTCAGGATGTAGTTCAGTGTCAGAGTACCCACAGGTTCAATTTCCAGTATGGAAAATAAAATAAAATATAACAACATTAAAAAAAACCAAACAACTAAAAAGCCAAAACAATATAAAGCCTAGAAAACACTGGCCTCTGCAAATATATATCCACTGTGGATGTATTTAAGCCTGTGTCTCATTATCTACCACTGAGACACAATCTCATTTAATCTTCAGAACAATTTAGAGGGTGGGCATTATTATCCCAGTTTACTGTTGGAGAAACTGAGGCACAGTGTGGTTAAACAACTTGCCAGGCACACACAGCTTTGAGTTCAGACTGTCGGCACCCAGAGCCTGTGCCCCCATCACTGGGCACAAACAGACATCATGGAATTTCCTGTTTGTTCCCTGATCCCACATGCTGTGTAAGCCCCCTTCCCACTCCCCACCAAGAAGTGGTGGGGCAGCCTGCAGGGTGGCTCAGAGGCAGTGCCAGGCCCTGGGGGACTAACCCTGACAGTGACTCCTTGCCCATGTCTCCAGCATCCAGATGGTCCACCATTACACCATCCACGGGAACACAGAGGAGCTGCGGCAGATGGCAGCCAGCCGCGAGGTGCCCCGGCCTCTCTCCACCCTGCCCATGTTCAACGTGCGCACGGGCCAGCGGCTGCCTCCCCGCGTGGACAGCGCCCAGGTGCCCCTCATCCTGGACCAGCACTGAGCACTCTGCCAGGTAGGTCCAGCCGGGCAGCGCCAGCCTCGTTTCTGGAAACAAGATGGCCTCTGTCTCAAAGATGGGGTGATGAGGTCAGGGCAAGGCAGGGCCCAGAGACCAGCCAGTTCGTGGCAGGGGGCGCTCAGCAGGGTCAAGGTTATACCTCCCGCTGCTGCTGAGCACTCAGGGTCAGAGGTCAAGGTGGGGAAGCAGGCGACCCAAACCGGGGTTTGTCTCTCTCTGTCCTCCTGACTGTCTCCCCTGCTTCCAATTCCAGCCCTGATCTCAGACTCCCTTTTCTCTCCACTCAGAGAGCTGCAGACCCCTCCCACTGGCTGATTCTTGCTCCTGGCCCAGTTGGACCCCAGGCTCTGAACAAGCAGAGGGATGAGGTGGGGAGGGCTAAGGGTGTTTGGAGTCAGGACCCCCAGAATAAAATGCCTGCTGCCCTGCTCATCTGATGCTGCCAGCATGCTTTTCCCCACAGCCTCCTCCCAGCAGCCTCCTCCTAACAGCCTCCCAAGGTCCTCACTGTCTACATTTCCCTTTTGACTTTCTGGGAGTCCCCGGAGGCTGCCAGCCAACTCTGGGCTCCTAGCATTTTGCTGTTTGCTCAGATTTTCAGGAAGAGGGAAGGATCTGCTGCTATATGCAGCCCTCATATGAACCTGACAATGAGAGATTCCTGGATCATTACATCCGTTTTATAGATAAGAAAACTGAGAACTATGGAGAGGAAGTGATTGACCCAAGGTCCCAAAGCAAGCGGCTGGAGGACTGAGGGGCTCGCCAAGCAGAAGATCTCAGCTCTGATCTGGAAACTTAGTTAACACCTGTCACAGTCCCTTGGAGGAGGGGGTCCCTTTGTAGGTTGTGTCGAGAGAGAAGCCAATCTAGAAATGGAGAGAGGTTAGGAGGCAGGACAGAATGCCCCAGGCTTGAGGGCTCCCCTCCTGGTGGCTCCTCCAGAGAAAGGACAAGAGAATCTGCACAGCTTAGAATACTCGTTGAGTTGAGTGCCACAGAGTGCCTTTTCCCCAGGAGCCTGGGAGAGCTCAGCTGGCTGTGCAGGGGCCCGAGGTTATTTTTCCAGGTGGCTACAACCAAAGTGGGCCAGCTCACTGCCATCTGTGCCTCCTCCAGTCTCAAGTTTTACCACTCCCATGTGAGGGCAGGTCTGAGATCAAACCGGAGAGGTGACCCAGATAAAGCAGAAGAGCAGGGACAATGGCTCAGGCTTCTCTAGGTGGCAACTGCAAGAGAATCCAGCCAGGGCCTGGCACCCAGCACCCTGGCCCGCCTCACCCTTTCTCTGCTGGGGAACGCCAGCATTCCTTCACCCCAACACCTCCCTAAAGGCTGCAGTTCTGGTCTCTGCCCTAACGGCATGTTCTCAAAGAGGCCTCCCAGCCTGCCTTTGGCCTTGGGGCCCCCTCACAGTCCTCCTTGCTCTCTGAGAGATGCCCCCGTGGGCTCCCTGCTTCGCTCTGTGTGTGCTCAATGAGTGCTTGCTGACAGATGGCTCTAGGTGCCCCCTCTACCCACATGGGGGCACACACTGCGCCAGCTCTGTGCCTCTGCCAGCCTCAATGAATGCTTATGGACTCAGTGCTCAGTGCATTCATTAACTAGCTAATGGCCATGGGGCACTGGGGGTGGGGGAGGAGAGGCTTTAGATTGAGATTCCTGGATCATTACATCCGTTTTATAGATAAGAAAACTGAGAACTGTGCTCAGCCCTTTGCCCAGAGAGAAGGAACAGCCTCTTTAAGAACTAGGCGCAAACCCAGACAGACCAGGGCGCCTCTGTTTCCCCTGGGCCCATCATCTGATGGAGAGCTCAGGAGTTGCAGGGAATCTGCTCAGACCAGAGGCTTGGAGCAGCCAGCCTGCTGCCTGGGCTGGCTCCCTCCCGCCCTGGCCCCCTGAGGAGGGGGCTGCAGTCTCCCCAGTCACCGTCTGGCCCCAGCGGCAGGCAGACCTTGGGCCTCCTCTGTGCTCTTCCTGTGCTGGCCAGGGATGGGGGAATGCGAGGCCAGCTCCCCGCCCCCTGTTTCCCGGCCTGGTCTTGGGGTCTTGGCAGCACCTTCCTCCCCGCTCAGCTCCAAGGAGCACACGGGAGTCTGGCCGCCTGCCTGAGAGGAAGTGGCCCAGACAAGTAGCCGGAGGATGGCGTGACTGCAGAGGACGGAGAGCCGTGCCCAGGCACACACACGCGACAGCCAGCTGCCCAGCGGCGCACAGGGAAGACTCAGTCACACTCAGTGCTGCGCTGCCAGCCCCTCCCGGAAGGGCAAGAGTCTACCACAGTCACACCCCACTCCCCACAAACCCTGGCAGAGGGGCAGCTGCCCCCAAGCCCCACCTCCACCCCCAGACAGCCCCACACTCTGCTTCCCATCTCCAGTCCCACTGTTGGCTGGGCCTGACGACACGTGGCCTGACTCTCCACATTTCCTCAGCCCCTTCAATGGGCCAGACCTGGGGACACACCACCTACAGTAGGCCTCAGCCCCTGGAGGCACACTTCCCCTGAGCAGGACTGGATGGGGCTTTGCCACACCTTGTTCACTCATGAAACAATGATCATACCTGCCTTGAGCTGTTGGGGGACTTCATGAGGACAAGGGCACCCTCATGGCTCCCAGGAGTTGGGGACCTGATTATACACAAGCCCTCTGCAGTCTCTCCAAGGCCAGCTGTCCTTGAGGTCTCCCTGCCTCCCTTAAGACCCAGGCTAAATGGACTCCATGTCCACCTAGGCCTTCTGAAAAGTTCAGCTTCTCCCTGTGAATTAGGGCGGACGCCTAAATTCGCACCCTCCTTGGTACAGAACTGCTATGTGGTGTGGCGCTGTCCTGCCCACTTGAAATGTGCCCGGTCCAAACTAAAGAGGTGCTCTTAAGTAGAAGGAAGAAATTATATTTGGGGAGATACTGGGCTCAATAAAAAACAATATTAAAAGTAATTTTGCTTGTTTCTTTTTTTTATTTTTTTAACGTGGCCACTAGGAAATAAAAAATGACATGTGTGGCTCACATTCTATTTTTAGGGGAAGGTGCAGGTTCCATGACTCCAGATTACTTTATCTCTGCTCCAGATCGACTCCGGCTCAGAACTCAGTCATGCTTTCTATTGAACCTGCTCACTCAGCCCTCCTGCTTGCATCCGGGGAACCCTGGTGGGGAGTGAAAGAGTTTGTCCCACAGAAGTGAGTCCCCTAGAACTTGGATGTTAGCCTCCTTGCTCTAGAATATGCTTGGGTCCTGACAATGACCTTCATCGTCCTCCTTTTTTTATAATTTTTTTACTTTATGGATGGACACAGTGCCTTTATTTAATTACTTAATTAATTTATTTATTTGTATGCGGTGCTGAGGCTTGAGCCCAGTGCCTCACCCATGCTAGACAAGGGCACTCACTACTACCACTGAGCCCCAACCTCCGCTCAGCATTGTCCCCTTCCTTGCTTCTCTGCCCTTCTCTTTCAGTAGCTCTTCTTCTTGGTCCCTCATTGTCCTATGCGAGGAGAATACCAATTTTTCCTGCACCCGTGGGTATCAAACTCATCTCCTCCCTGGCTTGGTCTCGCACAGCCTCTGCTCAGTGTTGTAATTTCCAAGGGTCTAAGGATCTGTCACCTTCCCAGATAAAGGCCAGCCCTCTTCCCCGGGTCTTGCCTCTTGGGCCATCCACATGCCCCCCAGCCCAACTTGGTACCTTCCAGAGCACACACCCAGAGGGCCACAGAGACACAGCTTCTCACTAGCACCAGAGCTCCCACTGGTGCTGGGACTTCAAGGTGATAGTCTGTCCCCACACTCACCCTCTCCTCATCTCCCCACACCCTCCCTACTCATATCCCGTCTATCCTTCTTCACACAGGAGGACCCTCCTATGCCTATGGACACATATGTCCCAAATGCTATGACCCATGCCTTCCACAGCTCACATGGCATCTCCTCCACTGCCCCACATGTGACAAAGCTGCCCTCATTGTGTACAGACCCCCCCCCCCCGCATACCTCTCCACCACACACCCCTCCACACATGTGTGGGACCTCATGCCATGGATAGGACACCTGTGGGTGGGCAGAGCGAGGCACATTCCCATTCATGGGCACCTACCAGGAGACCCAAGTAGGGACCCCCAGAGGCACCTGCCTCACCCCCTCACATCATTGCTCAGGCCTCCCCAAGTGGGTATTGGTTTTGTGAACAGCCCCACGTTGTCCCACATGCAGCCCCCACCCCCATGCCAAGGCTTCCACACTCCAGCGAGTCAGCCCTCCCCCCACCCCTCCTCCCCGTCAAGAGCTCCAATGTCTAGGAAAGTCAGAGGACCTGGAAAACTCAGGGGTGAGATGCTGCGGGGAGGAAAAAAGAGGGAAAACCCACCAGATTCCGGATATAGAAAATCCTGCCAGGAGATGGATGGGATCAGGCCTCCGAAGGGACCCAGGGTTCCAGGACAGTGGTGAAAATAAAAAATTCAACTGAAGGCTCCTCCTTTTCTAGAGTTTTCCATCTGGATCTGACTGAAAAGTTAGCCATAGGAACTGAGTCTTCCTGCTCACAGAGAGGACCAAGGCAAGTCCTGCGGAGCAGAGCTGAGAGCAGCAGGCACCACGCCACCATGCAGGACACAGTGAGGGTCCCCAGACAGGGTCTGGCAGCTGTATTTAGGGCAGCTGTGATGTCAGCGGAAAGGAGGGCTTGAGTTGGCAGTGTGGTACACTGGCTCCATTGTCCCCCTCCCCTTCTGTCCTGAACACACACTGAAACCACACACCATCCCTATACCACGTGACACAGACATGAGGTCGCAAGGTGGGGCACTGCCACGTGGGCCTGCCACCTCTACAGCCCACAGATGGGTACACACAGGTACACACCCGCAATAGCACATCCACAAGTAGATTTGCAGGCATGTAAGCGAGAGGCACGGTCACTCTCTCAGAGCTATGCTGCCTGACACAGTAGTCACCAACCCACAGAGTTACTTATATTAACGACAGTTAATAAAAGTAAGAATTGCATCCCTCAGTCACTAGTCACATTTCAAATGCTTGGTAGCCCGGGGGTTCCCGGCTACTCTATGGCACTGCCCAGGTAGAGGACCTGTCTGTCATTGCCTTCGGCTCCCCTGCCCCGGGCGGTTTTCACTGCTCTTTCTCACACTTAGTACGCCTGCGCACAGGTAAGGGGCGCCTCTCTCACATTCTTACTATTCCTTCTCCCTAATATCTACAGACTATGCACAGGGACCTGGCCTCTGGCCTGGGGAGAACAGGGTGGGATGTGGTGACATGGATGTGGAAGCAGCCTCTGGGAGCTCAGAGGGCCAATCTCAGCCTGGGGTGGACAGGGGAATGGGCAGGGACAATGGGACATTTGAACCTGGCTTGGAGCAAACAGAGAGAAGGAACATCATGTCAGGCAAAGAAAAGCCATAAAACGGGTAGTGGGTGCATATGTGGGAATCGTGGTCACCCTTTCTGGCTTGTGTGACAGATGTGGGCTGTGGAGGAGACAGTGATCCTGTTCAGGTAGGTACTGGCCAGGTAGAGTCTTGGATGTTGAGCTCAGGAAGCTTTCAGATCCCCATGGGGCCAGATGGGGATGGAGCCTGGACAGCAAGAGTCGTGGGCACCAAAGGTTTAGTTAGGTGGGGTTGCCTGGGCAGCGTGTCAGGCAGACCGACATCACCAAGCAAATGCATTGATAAACTGATCAGTAGGACCCATGCACCTCCGGATATTTTGTATGTGAGTAAGGCTTCATTTATAGGCCGTATTTTTAATTTCGTTTTTACACTGTTCTATAGTAGAGGTGCTAATGATGAATTATTAAAGGCCATCATTAATGGCCATGGATACTCAATGACAGACACAGTATTGGCATTGCCAATGGATGGCCTCTGAGGACTTGTGCCTCTCTCCATAGACCTGAGGGAGGTGCACAGGTCAGCCTTCTCTTTCCTTTGAGGTTTGGGCTCTGGGATGTTGGGCGGGGGTGGGGGCAGCTGTCATCTCCCTGTCTCCCCATCTCTGGACGTCCTGTTTGCTGCAGGCTTCCGACTCTCTGGATTCTCTGCTCCCCACTGATCACACGCCACTGTCCCTATTCCCTGAGATGCGGGAGCTGGCCGGCCACCTTCCCTTCAGGTTGTAAGGCAAGGGCAGCCAGGGGCAGGCAGAGGTGAGGGAAAGAGAAGGGAGGAAGGAGAAGGAGGAAGAGAAAGCAAGAATTTGGGGAAAGGAGAGAGAGAGAGAGAGAGAGAGAGAGAGAGAGAGAGAGAGAGAGAGGAAGAAAAGGGCCAGAGGCAGGGCCGGGCACCTCCACAGGCTGCCAGCTCCCTACCATCTTGCATTCTGGGCATGCAGAAAACCAAGAGGGCCCTACACTGTCCTGGGGGGTAACACCTGCAGGAGTCTTAACTGAGACTCTCCAAGACCCCCAGGAGAGCAAGCAAGAGCCTTCCTTTCCCACTGTCCCCTCCCAGGTGTCCTGGCAGGCTCGGCAGACCCCTTCCTGTGCTGAACTGCTGGCTCCTTGGCGTGAAGAGGGGGTAGAGGCCAGATGTCCCTTTTCTGTTTGTCCAGGGAAAGGGTGTGCAGAGGGGCTCCCAGGTCCCCCTCAGCAGTCCCATGTCTCTCCCCCTCCCAGAACCCACAGGCAGCACCTCCTTCAGCCCAGCCCCGCAGCCCGCCCACAGTGTAGAAAGCGGATGGGTGTTCATGGGAGGGTGGGCATGAGGCCGTGCGACCCAGGATCTGAAGGGGCATGTGCTTGTGTGTGTGTGTGTGTGTGTGTGTGTGCACACGTGCACGTGTGCGTGTGTTGCTGACCTATGTAGGCTACCTGTTCAGCATTGCAGGGAAGAAGAGGAATTGGAAACCTGCAAAGAAGATTGCAAGAGAGAGAGAAATACAAGAGGAAAGAAAAAGGCTTAAGGCTGGAGAAAGGCAAGAGAGGAGGGTGAAGGGCAGGATGTAGCAGGAGTGGGCAGAGAGTAAGGGCAGGGGATGGGAGATGGGCCCACCCACTCCACCCCCTCCCCCAGGCCACCCCCTCCCCCAGCTCCCAGGGAGGAAATTAGGAGACCACTGCTGAGGTGTTTGGGTCATTTCCACATGCTTTATTCCAGCAATCAAAATAATTAAAAACATCTCAAATTATTATACACATACAAAATAGGTACAGAGTCTCATTTCCTCCCTTGCTTCCTCCCACCCTATTGGGAAAAACTGTTTTGTGCTTTGGGAAGTTGTGCTCTGAAACCCGGATGCAGGACAGACCAGTGGAGAGGTGGGGAGGATGGGGCACGGCTGCAGAAGGGGGAGGGTTTCAGAGGAGGGACAGGTCAGAGAGCGGCAGACCCAGAAGCCAGTGGAGAGAAGGCGAGAGGGAGCAGGCTGGAGCCTGGCGCTCTCTCTCTCCATGTTAAATAGCACCGTCAGAAAAAAAAAAAATTCACATGAGTCCCCATCCACAAAAAAAGAAAAGGAAAAGAAAAAGAATGAGAACAAAGAATTAAAAAAGACTGAGCCAAAGGAATATTTGCTGGTCTAGGAGGCATCTCAACTTCTATAGCACCAGAGATTCCTTCCCCACCCCACCCCATCACATAGATGTAGCACCTTTGATATAAAATGGGGAGCTGCTGCCGCCCTGCCCCCATCCCTGTCCCCACACAGTTGCCCCGGTGACACAAAGACAAGAACGAGGTAGTCTTTCAGCAACACAGTTACAAGGAACAGAACAATCTCTCCCACCCAGCCCTGCGCGCATGCGTGGGGAGATTGGCATGATGTCTCTGTTCTGTTGTGGCCCTGCCTGACTCTCCTCCAAACCCAGTGAGGGGCTAGGGGCTCCCCTCCGCATGGCCCCCTTGAAAACAAAGTGGGGCGTGCTGCAGGGGACAGGGGATGCCAGAGGGTAAGGTTCCTTTGGCAGTCTGAGAACCCCAGGTCCCCCCAGGGTTTGGGGGTGCTGGGTGGGAGAAATGGGCTGGGGGCTCAGGGCCACTTAGATGTTTCCGCATTGCCTTTGGTTGCTGGGTAGACAATGCATTGTTTTCTGTGTCTTTGGGGGAGACCTGGATATGGGGAGCAGTGGAAGAGAGGCCCCAAGATGGGGTGGAGAAAGGAGTAGAAAGGGCAGCCTTGGGGTATCATAAGCCCAATGGGCAGAAAAGGACTTACCCCCACATGGGTCTTCAAGCAAGTGGACCAAGCTTCCTTTTTTAAAAACTTATTTATTTATTCTTTTTTTTTTTTTTCCCTTTGGTAAGGTTGAATGCACTTTTGGTTTTTGGTCATGTTCAGTTGGTCAAAGATAAAAACTAAGTTTGAGAGATGAATGCAAAGGAAAAAAAATATTTTCCAAAGTCCATGTGAAATTGTCTCCCATTTTTTGAATTTTGGAGGGATTTCAGTTTGGGTTGTTTGTCTGTTTCCAGAATGGGGAGAAAGTGGGCTGGGTGGGAGGGAGCCAGGTTGGAGTGGAGGGAGTTTACACGAAGCAGGCAGGGCCAATGTCCATGCCGAATTCCTGGTCTGGGGCGCCAATGTCCAAGGGGGCCACATCGATGATGGGCAGGCGGGAGGTCTTGGTGGTTTTGTATTCGATGATTGTCTTGCCCCAGGCTCCGGTGTGACTCTGGAGTGAGGGGAGGTAAAGGGAGAGGGCCATTACACATGGGGACAATGGACGGAGGGGAGCCACCCTGCCCCCAAAGTCAAGGCCCAGAGGGGCGGGGCCCTGCCAGAGCCTGGGGTCTTACCGTGCAGCCGTCATAGATGGTGCTGTAGGTGAAGCGGCTGTTGCCCTCGCCCCGGAGTTCGATTTCGTTGGAGCCCTGGAGGAGCAGGGACTTCTTGAGGTTGCCAGTCTGCTGGTCCATGTAGGCCACGCTGTTCTTGCAGTGGTAGGTGATGTTCTGGGAGGCCTCCGTGGACATCAGGCGCAGGAAGGTCAGTTGGATGGCCACATCAGCAGGGTCGGAGCCCTCGCTGCCATACTCGAACTGTGAGGCAGGAGAGAGAGTGAAGAGTGAGTGACCACATGGGGGCCTCTAGTCCCTGGCCTCCCTGCTCCTGAGTCTTTTCCCAGAGTATTCCCAACTAACTCCCTCCATCCTCCTACCCTTGAGAACTAGGGATTGAACCCAAGAGTGATACCCCCAGCCCTTTTTAAAAAATTTAATTATGACTCAGGGTCTTGCTAATTCCCCAGGCTGCTCTCAAACTTAGAATCCTCCTGCCTCAGCCTCCTGAGTCTCTGGGATTATAGGTGTGCAACATGGCACCCAGTCCAACTAACTTTTCTGTCAAGAAGGGTGTCACTTGCCCCTGGGGAAGACCTTGTCCACTCCAGGATTTCTCCCTCCTAACTTGGCTAGCCCATCTCCTGAAAGTGGTTCTAGGGTCCAGCTCACGCACCTGGAATCCACCGGTCATGCTCTCGCCGAACCAGACATGCCTCTTTTCCTTGTGGTTGTTGCTGATGTACCAGTTCTTCTGGGCCACGGTGGGCTGGGTGGGGTACACACAGGTCTCACCTGTCTCCATGTTGCAGAAGACCTTAATGGCATCCAGGTTGCAGCCTTGGTTGGGGTCAATCCAGTACTCTCCTGCAGTGGGGCAGGACAAATAGTTAGGGGATGTGGGTGGCCAGTAACATATGGGAGGTGGGACACAGATGGCAGGAGACGGAGATAATGGGCAGCCGGGGCTCTCACCACTCTTCCAGTCAGAGTGGCACATCTTGAGGTCCCGGCAGGTGCGGGCAGGGTTCTTGCGGCTGCCTTCAGGGCTGCGGATGTTCTCGATCTGCTGGCTCAGGCTCTTGAGGGTTGTGTCCACTTCAAGATCACGGTCACGGACCACATTGGCATCATCAGCCCGGTAGTAGCGGCCATCACCAGCCTTCTCTTGAGGTGGCTGGGGCATGAAGCTGAAGTCGAAACCACCGCTGGGAGGACCAGGGGGACCAGGGGGTCCAGGAGGGCCGGGGGGACCCTGCACAGAAACAGAGGAGATCAGCCGTTACCAGTGTGTCCGGGGACTCTTGGGGCTGGAGAACCATGAGGCAGAGAGGGTGGGGCTACTTACAACAGGACCAGCATCACCAGTGCGACCGCGAGGTCCAGGGGGACCGATTGGGCCTGGAAGACCGTTGAGTCCATCTTTGCCAGGAGAACCAGCAGAGCCAGGGGGACCCTGGAGGGGGAGAAAACCATTGCAGAAAACCGGCTGGAGAGCCCAGGGCCACCCCACCAAGAAGCCCGCCACTGTCCCTGATGGCTCTGATTCCCGTGGCTCACAGGGCCAGTCTCACCTCTGACCCTAAGCAGCAGCCTCACTGGTTTCCACGGCTGTGCCAGGAGACAATATGTGGGGGACGGAGTGAGCAGTGGGGAGAAGACTTTCAGGATCCTTTTCCCTCCCCCATTCCTTGTCCCTGGGGAACTCAGGGATGCCTATGTCCCTGGCAAAGGGCCCCGAGGTGAGCCTGGACTGGGGTTCCAGGCGGAGGAAATGAAAAGCATGACTTACACGAGGACCAGCAGGACCAGAAGCTCCAGAGGGACCTTGTTCACCAGGAGAGCCCTGAAAGGTAGAAGCAAGGGAGGTTCAGGCCCCGCGTGGATCACAGGCCACCTGGTGTGTGGCTGGGGAGGTGAGGGGCAGTGTGGGCAGCCCCCTCCGCATTCTGGAAGTCTAGCCCCAGGCTGTCCGTATGCTGAGACCTCTCCCACAATCCCTCTCTGTGCACCTCTCTCCCTCCGGGAAGCTACTTGGAAATGCCCCAAATCTTCAAACTTGAGTCCTCACTAGGGAGGTAACAGAATTTCTATCCAGAGGGAGAGAGTGGGGCACAGGTTTCCTGGCTCCCATCACTCAGTACAGCCTGGGCAGATGACAGAGGAGGCGCAAAGGCAGCGGGGGACTGGGGGTGGGGGCGGTTGTGCATACTCACAGGAGGGCCAGGAGGACCCTGGAGACCGGAGAAGCCACGGTGACCCTTTATGCCTCTGTCGCCCTGTTCGCCTGTCTCACCCTTGTCACCACGGGGGCCTTGAGGTCCCTAGGAGAGAGGAGGGGCCAGGCCGTCAGGTGGAAGTTCTGTTGGTGCTCAGTGAGGGCATTGTCCATATCCGGGCGAGGGTACGGAGGGCATGGGGGTTGTCATGGTACTTACAGCGGGACCACGGGCACCAGCAGGGCCGATGGGACCAGCAGGACCAGCAGGACCCTGGGGAGAGCAGAGAGAGCATTAGATGCTGGCCAGGAGACGCTGAGGCTGAGACCTCCCCTCAGCTGGGTCCCTCCACTGTGGCTCTCTCTCTTGACTCCCAGACGAACCTCCCCAGAGCCAGGCTTCGTGTGAGCTGGGGTAAACCCCATTCCTCGGGGGAGACGGGGGTCTTGTCTGGAGAGGGGTCTCGAGGTCAGTTTTTCCAGGGAGGCTGGGGGCCTAGACATCTTACAAGACCTCTCTTCCCGCAGCCCAAGGAAGGGAGCTGTCTATCCCCAGGCCTGGAAGGCCCTGGCCTGAGCTGAGCCCAGCTACTTACAGTCTCACCACGATCGCCACTCTTGCCAGCAGGGCCAACGGGGCCGGGAGCACCAGGAGCACCAGGAGCACCAGGGGGTCCAGCAGGGCCAGTCTCACCACGGTCACCCTAGGAGGGGAGAGCAGGGGCATGTGGGCCAGTCCCAGCTGAAGGGGCCAGGCTGGGCGGGTCAGTGGCAGGGGCGGCAGGCAGGGCTGCAGCTCTCTTACCTTGGGGCCAGGAGAGCCATCTCGACCAGGGGATCCTTCAGCACCAGGAGCTCCCTGAAGAGAAAGGGGAGAGAGATGAGTCCACCAGGAAGAAAGCTCAGGACAGACCCACAGGCCCTGCTGTGGACACTGGCTCAGAGGCTAGGGACTGCTCACCTCACGTCCAGATTCACCAGGGGGTCCAGCTAATCCAGGGGGTCCCATGGGGCCAGGGGGGCCACGTTCACCACTTGCTCCAGAAGGACCTTGTTTGCCGGGCTCACCCTAAGAGAAAGGAAAGAGTCAGGCCAGAGACAGGGTGTGGGGGCTGAGACCATCTCTATCAGATCTGTCTTCCTTGGTCCCCACCCCTACCCAGTACCCTTCAAGTCCTAGGATGGTTCTTGAGGACTCTAAAATGAGGGGGCACTTACCGAGGGGCCAGGAAGACCAGGGAAGCCTCTTTCTCCTCTTTGACCAGGCAGACCAACCACACCACGCTGTCCAGCAATACCCTGAGGTCCAGGGGTACCAGGAGCACCCTGTGGGAGGCAGAGGTGGGTGAGGTGCCTCACGGAGACACAGGGTCCACTCCCCAGCTCTGGACACGCCCCAGAGCCTCAGAATTCTTAGCTGGCACTCACAGCAGGTCCGTCAGCACCAGGGGATCCTTTTTCACCAGCAGGGCCAGGGGGACCAGGGGGACCAACTTCACCAGGACGTCCAGCGGGACCAGTCTCACCACGGGGACCTTTGCCGCCTTCTTTGCCAGCAGGGCCAGGAGGACCAGGGGGTCCAGCATTTCCCTGGATGAGGACAGGAGGGGCTGTCAGACTCCTGTGACTTCTGAAGCATCAGAGAGGCCTCAGTGGAGCCTGCCATCCTCCTGACAGAGTGCCCCTGCCGCCCCGGCTCCACACGGATACTCACAGAGGGGCCAGGGGGACCGACTCGGCCAGCAGCACCAGGGAAACCAGTAGCACCCTGGTAAGAAAGAACACAGCACAGTCAGGAGAACTGTCACCTCACCTGGCCCAGCCCCCTCGGAACACTGGCTCTGGGGAGGCTCCGTGGAGAGGCTGGTGATACTCACAGGGGGACCCGCGCTGCCGCGAGCACCTTTGGGTCCAGGAGCACCAACGTTACCCTGCAAGAAAGAGCAGAGGTGTGAGGTCCACGCCAGCCTCGGGTCCAAGGCTGCTGGCAGCTTCACTAGCAGGGTGTAAGGTACTCACAATGGGGCCGGGGGGCCCAGCGGGTCCAGCAGGGCCAGGAGGACCGGCATCGCCTTTAGCACCAGCATCTCCAGGTTCACCTTTAGCACCAGGTTGACCATCAGCACCCTAGGGAAGAGAGAGAGCAGTGAGCGGAGAAGATACAGCCACAGCGGGGCAGGGAGGGCCTCTGGGCTGGCGGGGACAGCGACGAGAGCAGGGAGATGCTTGGGCGGGAGATGACCCCTCTCCACCTTTCTCCCCGGACTCTCTGTCCTCATTCAGTCACCCAGGGTCCCATGATCCATGTCCCAGTTGGTGATAGGGAATGAAGGGGATCTTGATACTCACAGGGGGGCCAGCGAAGCCAGCAGGACCAGGGGGACCAGGTTCACCACGATCTCCCTGGAAGGAAAGGAGGCGAATGGGAAAGATGTCACAACGTGGGGAAAGGTGGAAAGTAGAAAAGGGAGGGGACCGTGAAGAGGGACAAAAAGAAGGCAGATGGCAGAGGGCTGAGCACGGGTCTTAACAGGTGCTTCTGTACTTACAGGGGCGCCACGGGCTCCGGTGGGGCCAGCAGGGCCGCTGGGACCAGTTTCACCCTGAGAGGCAAAGACAAGAAGCTCATGGTCAGGGGCCATACCGAGTGCTCCCGGCAGAGGAGCCCAGGAGAGCCTCCCCCCACTGGTCCCTCCAGCTTCCTAGGCCACTCACTTGGTACAGCAGGACCTGCCTACCCCTCAGAGCCCTGCCCAGGCTTGCTGGGGAAGGTGTGTTAGGAAAGAAGAGGAAGAGGTGGCCACTCACCTTGTCACCAGGAGCACCAGCGGGACCAGGAGGACCAATGGGGCCAGTCAGACCACGGACGCCATCTTTGCCAGGAGAACCATCAGCACCTTTGGGACCAGCATCACCCTAAAGACAGGGAAAAGCCTGAGACTTCCAGTGTGGGGCCAGGAGGTGACGTGTAGCATTCTGCTTTTGTCCGGGAGCCCCGAGAGGCCCTAGCCAGCTCTGCACCACTCTGCCCGTGCTGAGGATACAAGATTCATTCTGGGGGGCGGGGAGGGCCTGTCTGTGGATGTGGGCAGAACGTAGGTGAAGAGGCCCCTGACTCACGCAGGGGATGAATAAGGAGGCCTCCATCAAGGACATGTCCCACCTGTCATCACTATAGTGACTCATGGGGAAAAGGGACAGGATTGAAGTCAGAGGATTTGCCAGTAAAGGAGAGAGAGGGGAAGGAGGGAGAATTAAGGGCAAGAGGGAAAGACCCCAGGAGAAGGAGAGATGCTGAGGGATCCAAAGCAGGAGGAGAGACGGGAGCCAGGAGGCTCACGGGAAGTGGAAGCTGAACTTACTCTGTCTCCCTTGGGGCCTGGAAGACCAGCTGCACCACGTTCGCCAGGCATTCCCTGAAGACCAGGGGCACCCTGGCTTCCAGGAGCTCCAGGAGCACCAGCATCACCCTAAGTGACAACCAAGAAGACTGGAGTGAGACCCAGGGCCCCAAAGTGGGTCACAAGCCCTGAGCCCCTCTTGACATCTCCCAGACTTGGTCCTAAGGCCAAAGACAGGCGTCAGCTAAGAGGAAAGACTCAGAGCTGAGGCTGGAGGCTGAGTGCAGCACCCCCACCCCCATATCCCAGTGTCACCCTGCCCTCACCTTGGCACCATCGTTGCCAGGAGCACCGTTGGACCCACGAGGACCAGCAGGACCAGGGGGACCTTGCACACCACGCTCACCAGGGAAACCTCTCTCGCCCTAGAGGGGAAGGAAGGCCATGAGATGGCTGCTCCAGAGACAGGCCCAGCCCAGGCCCAGCGCATGGAGGCAGGAGCAGGGAGAGAGAGTCTACTTACTCTTGCTCCAGAGGGACCAGGGGCACCAAGATCTCCAGGAACACCCTGAGGGAGAGAGGGAGAGTGACAGTGAGCACAACCCACTAGGGTTCTCCCCACAAGAAAGAACTCCTGTCCCTGTTCCTGGAGGCTGGCCCTTGGGGCCCTTGAGTAGAGATGAACTTCTCAGTATGGAACTGGGAGTTTCCCCAAGATTTGTCAAAGACCTCCCTTCTTCCCAGAATGGCAATCAGAAGGCTTGAGGGAAAGCCAGAGTGTTCCAGCAACTCATTAAAAATGTCACCCAGCCTAGGAGCCATGCGGCACCTTATAGACTATATCATATAGCACCCACATCCCTCTGTGTAGCTCCCTTCAAGATAGGAAGTCCTTCTGGGTATTTACCCTTAATCCCTCTAGCCTCTGGTCATCTAATTTAGCTAGGGGCTGTGGCCTATTCCTCTGTATTTCCTGCATTCCTCATACCTCTGGCCAGTTGCTACTACTTACCTGTTCACCAGGTTTGCCTGCTTCACCGGGAGGACCAGCGGGGCCAGGGAGACCCTGTAAGTGGGAAATAGAGAGGGAAGAAGAAGGTTTAGAATCTGGAAAAGAACAAGGAGGCCCCCCTCACCAAATCCCTTTTACCACCATGTGGCCTCACCTGGAATCCAGGGGAGCCAGCAGGACCTTGTTCACCTCTCTCACCAGCGGGACCCTGTCATGGAGGGAACACTGTGGTCATGGGAAGGCCGAGAAGAGGAGGGGTCTCCTTTCCCTATCCCTAGGCCTCCCAGTCAGGGACACTTACAGCAGGGCCGGGGGGTCCCTGAGCTCCTGCTTCTCCATCTTTGCCAGCAGGACCCTGTGGGGAGAAGGTGAAGAACTCAGGTGGCAGCAGCCGGAAAGGGTGTAGTGGGCAGTGGGCAGTGGGCGGGGGCTGGGGCTCCCAGACACAGCAGTCTCCCTAGGGGCTCATAGATCAGCCAGGTGACTGGCTGGGGGTACAGACTTCTGTGTCCCTCCTGCGGGGAGGGGCAGGGATGGGAAGGAGCTAGAGACTGAAAGGAGAGACTTACAACAGCGCCAGGGGGTCCAGGAACACCACGCTCTCCAGCTTTGCCAGGTTCTCCCTGTGCAGAAGGGGGTCAGAGTTGAGGCCCAAGGAGGGGAAACTTTTTTGTATCAGGGATTGAACTCAGGGGTGCTTAACCACTGAGCCACATCCCCAGCCCTTTTTATCTTTTATTTAGAGACAGGGTCTTGCTAAGTTGCTTAGGGCCTTACTAAATTGCTGAGGCTGGCTTTGAACTTGTGATCCTCCTGCTTCAGCCTCATGAGCCACTGGGATTATAGACATGCATCTATAATCCTTTTCTAAGGGGTTTTCTTTTTGAAAAGGCCAACAGGCAGGCTCTGTTCACAGGTGGTGGTCCCCTGGGGAGTGCTTTGCTGGTTTTTAGTGCTTGGTCCCTTAGCTCCCTGCCACTCCCCAAGATGCCCTCTCAGTCCCCTCCTTTTCCCCCTTGCTTTCCTTCTCCCTGTTATATGCTTGCCGTGATCTGAACTGCAAAGGGCTTTTATCTCCTCTGGGATCTCCTTATGAACCCCCCAAAAGATCAAATTTTGGGGCCACTATCATAAAAGGACCATGCTTTCTGTGGAGCGAAGGCACCAATGATACTTATTTCCAGGGGCAGAGCAATGCTCGAGGTGCCAGGAGGGGCAATGAGTCACTCTACGTCACACAGCAAGTCATCAGAGTTGGGCCTAGAGTCCAAGGCTCTTGCCTCTGGGGTGTGTCTGTCCCTGGCACTGAATACTTACAGCAGCACCTTTAGGTCCAGGGAATCCCATCACACCAGCCTGACCACGGGCACCAGGGGGACCTGGGGGTCCAGGACGACCATCTTGACCAGCGGGACCCTGAGGGTGGGAAACATGGTGGTGTTGAGGACAGAACAGAGGCAGACGGGAGGCTGGAGATGGGTAGAGGCCTCAGGGGTGGCATACTTACAGGGGGGCCAGTTTTGCCATCAGGACCAGGGCTGCCAGGGCTTCCAGTCAGACCCTAGTGGGAAAGCAGAGGTGTGAATGGTGGGAGGAAGGACACCAAGAGCCGGCCAGGGGGGCTCCTCCAGAGTGCTCCTCCCAGACCCTATAGAAGGCAGGGTCCTGGCTGAGCTGGGCTGGAGGGCTGGGGTCTCACCTTGGCACCAGGCAGGCCAGCTTCACCAGGGCGACCAGCTTCACCAGGAGAACCTTTGGGACCAGCAGGGCCAGGAGAACCACGTTCACCAGCAGGACCCTGGTGGGGAGGAAGTCACAGGAAGCATGAGGTCTTGAGCTGGGCCTGGTTCCTATGGGCCAGTGGGTGCTTCCTTCCAGCAGGGGTGGGCAGGTGGGCTTTGAGGGGCATTGCTTGGGAAGGGGCAGCAGCCACAGTGGGGAGCTCATGACCATGGGGTGGCGCTGGGAGGGAGGTGATGGCCAGGGAGTGGTGGGCCAGCCTCCCAGCAGTGAAGAGAGGTTACCTTGGGACCAGCGACACCATCTGCACCAGGGAAACCACGGCTACCAGGTCCACCCTGCAGAAGGAGAAGAGGCCGGTGAGCCCAGAGTCACAGTCCAGGGCACCAGCTGGGCGCTGGGGGCAGAGAAGGGAAAAGCACTTACACGCTCGCCAGGGGGTCCAGGCAGGCCAGCAGGTCCAGGTTCACCTCGGGCTCCTCGCTTTCCTTCTTCTCCAGCAGGGCCAGGGGGTCCTTGAACACCAGTGGGGCCCTGGAGCAGGCAGGGAAGGTGACGTTGATGAGGAGCCATCCTGGTGCCAGCCCTGGAGCCTGAGGCTGAGCCTCCAGCACCAGGGCCTCCCCAACAGACAAGGGGCACCCGCCCTGCCCGGATCTCCCTCAAGGGGTCGCAGGGCAGGAGTGTTGGTGTGGGACTTACGGGTTCTCCTTTGGCACCAGTGTCTCCTTTGTTGCCAGGAGCACCAGGTTCACCCTGTGTGGGAGAAGGAGAGGATGAGCTGAGGGCCAAGTGGCGTGCGTCTTCATGCTCCCCACAGGGGGCGCTCTGGAGTCAGTGCTCTGGAGAGGTGTGGACTTACGCTGTTACCCTTGGGACCAGGAGGACCGCTGGGGCCCTGGGGTCCAGAGGGGCCTCGGGCACCAGGGAAGCCAGGAGCGCCAGCAATACCGGGAGCACCCTGTGAAAGGCAAGACACACAGTTGAGTAAAGGACTGGAGGGCAGAGGTGGGGGGAGGTGGGCGTCAGGGGAGCCCTGAGACCTGGCAGGATACTTACATTGGCACCTTTAGCACCAGGTTGTCCATCAGCACCAGGGTTTCCCTGTGGCACAGAGAAAGGAGGGTGAGCAAGAGGAAATGTCTCTAAGGTTGGAAAATGGCTCAGGGGACACTAAGAGGTGACACTTACAGCGGGACCAGCAGCACCAGCAGGGCCAGGGGGGCCAGGCTCACCACGAACACCCTGGGGACCTTCAGAGCCTCGGGCTCCTTGGGGACCAGCTTCACCCTGGATCAGAGGGAAGGTCACATCAGAGACCATACAGGGGAACCCAACCTTACCTCTGGATGGTGAGGGGCAGGGGGCAGGGCAGGGGGAGGAGAGACAGGGACAGGAGACCAAGAATGAGGACTCTAGGATCTGGGAAGTGGACATCAGGACAAAGGTGTTGATATTAAGTTTCCCTCTTGCTTCTCTGGATTCCTCTGGTTTGGGGAGCAGGGAGACAGCCATCCCTTGGCCAGTGAGAACAGTGTTCAGAGGAGGGCAGGGGTCTCACCTTAGCACCAACAGCACCAGGGAAACCAGGAGGACCAGCGGGGCCAGTGGGACCCTGTGAATGAAACGGAGGCATTAGCAAGAGGAAGAGTCAAATGCTGGGACAGAAGAGGTGTCAGACCCTCACGGCCCACTGCTGGTTCCAGAACCAAGAGCCAACACAGAGACCCTCCCTGTTCCCAGGCCTTAAGTCCAAGGGCCATACTCACAGGAGGACCAGCAGCACCAGTAGCACCATCATTTCCACGTGCACCCTGCAAGAGAGAGGGGAAGCCCCAGTTATGTCCACTGAGTGCTGGCCAGTCCCTGTAGATTTGGGGGAACACTGTCCACAGCCTAGGGAATCCCCCAAGGATCCAGGAATACTTACAGCAGGGCCAGGGGCTCCAGGGCGACCTCTCTCACCAGGCAGACCACGGGGGCCCTAACAACCAAACCATGAGAAGCCGAGTGAGATGGAAGTCAACCTCCTGGTCCCCCAAGCCGCCATCTTTCCCTAGTACCCAGCTCCTCTTCCCTCGAGAACTGTACACATTCACTCACCATCTGGCCAGGGGCTCCATTTTCACCAGGGCTACCAGGCTCACCCTACAGGACAGAGAATAGAGTGAGGAATTCATGCATGGTGGGACTGGGAAGGGGAGGCAGGGGACCTGGACATTCCCACAGCCTCTTACCTTGGGACCAGCAGGACCAGCATCTCCCTTGGCACCATCCAAACCACTGAAACCCTAATATAGGAAAGAGGCCCAAAGTGAGATCCTGTGGAGGAGGTAGACCACCTTGACACCCACCCAGATCTGAAAAGGAGCTTCAGGAGGCCACCAGAGCCATTCCTCTGTCTCTGAGCTAGACTAAACCCCAAATGGCCCAATATCCCTCCAGTTTCTTTACTGGGATTTCATCCCCATGGAAGGAAATTCTTTCACATATCTACCCCCACACCCCTTGGGATTTCTGTAGCTGCCACCCACCAAGATGCACACCAGGATCTGTTGGGGAAGGGGCAGGAATGATAGAAGGTCCAGGACTTTGGGAGCTTAGATGACCCAAAGGGGACTTACTCTGTGTCCCTTCATTCCAGGGAGGCCAGCTGTTCCAGGCAATCCACGAGCACCCTGGAGAGAAAAGCAAAGGAGACAAGGAAAAACCATTAGAATAACTTTCATAACACTGAAAGTTTTCCAAAGGCACAGATGCAGTGATGTGGAGGGGTCTGGCCTCAACCCCTTACTCACTCACCTGAGGCCCAGGAGGTCCACGCTCACCAGGACGACCAGGTTTGCCAGCTTCACCCTGGAGGGAGAGAAAAGACCGTCATGCCCAGGTCCTGGGGCTGAGAAAGTGTGGAAGGTCTCAGTCTTCTTGAGATTGCTGAAGGTCAGGTTAGGGGTCCCAAATCTTTCTTTGAATCTAGAGCTCAGTTTAGATCTACCATGAACACCTTTCTTTGGTGACATTTGGGTCCCTCCAGAACTTTTTTTTTTTTTCTGAAACCAGCATTTTAATCTCATCTTCTTTGCCCCCAGATCACTTAAACCTGAGAAAGTCAGAGGGATAGGGGGATCCCTTTAAAATGACTGGGGGAGGGGAGGAAGAGTCAACCATTCTAGGGAAAGCATCATTAAAATGTAAGTCATTGTTCAAGAGCAATCTTGGGCATGACAGTGGAGGGTGGCAGGGGACTTGTCCTTCTTCCTCTGGGCATTAGCCCCAAAGGTGATGGGGGGCACCCTGGTAGAGATTACAGGACCCAACCCATGGAGGCCATGGGGTCAGATGGCATCTTCTCACTAGGGCTACTTACATCATCTCCGTTCTTGCCAGGGGGGCCAGGGGGACCTCGGGGACCCATGGGACCCTAGAAGAGATAGAAGGAGAGGTGGTTAGAATCTCCAGGACAAGGAAAAAAAAGAAGGGGAAGGTTCAGATTAGAAGGAGGTGATGAGGTGGTCCCCAGGTGAGGGTCGTTTTAAGGGAGAAGTCCGTGTTGGCAGAGGAGGGTGTGTCGGTGGGGAGAGTGCTTACTGAAGCTCCAGGCTCGCCGGGCTCACCAGGGGGGCCTTGGAAACCTTGGGGACCCTGGAGAATAAGGAGAGAGGGATGAGGTCAGAAGGGCAGGTGTCTGCCAAGCTGTCCCCATGTCACCAAAAACTCTCTGAGCCCCTTCTCTGCCCTCATCCAAATCTCCCCACCAACAGTCCAAAGCCCAAGATGGAATATGAAGATCTCTTGGATACTCACAGGTGCGCCAGGGGGGCCAGGGAGACCACGAGGACCAGAGGGACCCTAGAAGAAAGGAGGCTGTGGTGAGACTTCTGTAGGAAAACACAATGTGGAAGAAGTCTTGCTATCCCCCTTTTGCCCCATTGGGAGCATAGTTGTCATGTAGCCTTTCTAGACGCTGAGGCCCCAAAGGTGGTAGCCTTTACTTCCCAAGCCTTCTTGCCACCCCCATATGCCTATATCTCTGGCCCATCTCCTCTGGATCCCAATCCTCTTCTGTCATTTCTGCTCCCCCTGGTGGCTCACCATGGGGCCAGGCACGGACACTCCAGCTGATTTTTCATCATAGCCATAAGACATTTGGGAAGCGAAGTTCTGGAAAAAATAAAAGAGAGAGAGAGAATGCATGAGAAATCAGCACAGGACAGGAAACTGAAAAGCAGAAAACACATCCAATAATGGGACAAACTGACAACATGTGCTTCCCCTTGTGATGTTCTGTCAGACAACAACATTGCTTACGAGATTTTCTTACCCAAAATGCATCTCCAGAATCTAATATAATCATACAAATTAGGGGGACAGATTAACAAAATGACTGGCCTTTAGGAAACTTTCAGTGTTATGAAAGACCCAGGAAATAGTCTCAGGAATAGTCTACATTCATGGGAATTAAAGAGATATGATGATTAAGTGCAATTCATGATCCTGGAGAAAAAAAAATGCTATAAAAGACATTGTTGGGATATTGGTAAAAATTGGACTGTATATGAGATAATCATTTTGGATCGATGTTAAATTTAATCATTGTGCTATGGTCACATAAGAAAATGTTCTTGTTGAGAAAATAGCTCTGGAATATTTAGAAGCAAAGGGACATCATGTCAGCAACCTATCCTCAAATGGTTCAGAAAAAAATACTGACATTATGTATATATGGAAATTGATAAAGCAGATGCGACTAAGTGTGATAGTTATATGAAAATTCTCTGCACTAATCTTGCAATTCTTCTGTTAAGTTTGAGACTATCTCAAAATACAAAGTTATGTCATCTGCCAACAACAACAACAAAATAGTAGGGAGGGGGGCACATGTGGCCTTCGGGGAGAGACTTGATTCTCCACTTACTCCTCCAAGGCCAGGGGGTCCAGGGGGTCCAGGGGGTCCGGGAGGCCCGGGAAGTCCAGGATTTCCAGGGATGCCATCTCGTCCAGGGGGGCCTGCGGGTCCCTGTAAGGGGACAAGGGCGGGGCCGGGGTGAGCGCAGGCAGAAACCACGCCCACTCTAGCCTCCCGAAGCCCAGGGAATCCACCGGCTTACCCTTGGGCCGCGGGGGCCAGTGTCTCCCTTGGGTCCCTGTGGGGTTGGGAGAGAAGAAACAAGAGGCCGGTTAGAAAGGAGAGGACAGTGAGGATGGACAGATGGACTTGACGGCAACAGTAAAGAGCCCAGGATTACCTCAACTCCTGTGAGGTCTTGGTCCGTGGGTGATGCTGGGGGAGAAGAGGCACAGTTAGAGGTGGTTTGCCAACGATGCTCCCGGTGGCAAAAGCCTCCGAGAAGCAGAGCGAGGGAGTGGCCCAGACCTCCCCTAGGCCAAGGCCTGAACCATACCGGCGTCGTCGGGGCAGACAGGACAGCACTCGCCAGGGGGGATTTGGCCTCCCGGACACTTGGCGTCATTAGGACAGACCACTTCATCGCACATCACTTCGCCGTTGTGGCACAGGCAGATCTGGCAGGGCGTGGGTTTCCAGACATCGTTATGAGCGCGCCTGAGGCCGTTCTGTATGCAGTCGACTCCTGGGACTGGATAAGGGGGAGAAGACGCGGGCTGTTAGCGGCACCCGAGACCCTTGCCTCTCATCTCGGGGCACCAGGGACCCCAGATCTACACGCCCTTTCCCTCTACGAAGCACATTTCGATTTTCCATTCCCGCCTCCTTCCCCCTACCCCACTGTCTCCCAAGTTCTTAAAAGCTCCGCATCAGCGTCGGTGACAGCGCGAGGCCCCCTGGCCAGGGCGGCTAGCCAGTAACTCTTTCCAGTTCTCAGGAATTTAAACAAAGCTCGAGGCCGGGGTTGCTTCCAATTCCAACCTCAGCCCACGGGCGCTGAAGCCAAGTGAAATAAAAAGCCATGGCGGGGGGTGGGGGCGGGTAGTTGGGGCCGTATCCAGAGGGCAGGCTGTGGGGAGTGGTTTGGCGTAGAGACCAGAAGAGGGGGTGGGAGGAGAGAAGGGAGGTCCAGCCCTCATTCCGCCCTCATTCCTTGGGCAGGTGGGATGGCGTAGGCGGAGCCAGAGTAGGGTGGGGCGACTTTTAGCGGCGTCCCGCCCAGAGACTTGAAATGTTCCCCTAAAAGTAGGATACATCCTAACCCCCTGCTCTCAAATATCTTAAAATCTTGTTTTCGGGGCTAACATCAACCCCCCCAAAACCAACCAGTGCTTCCGGGTCACTCTTTAGCCACAGAACCCAAAGATCTCAAATAATGAAATTAGCCAGGCCCATCGCGCTAGCATCTACTTAGACGGTCACTAGGTGGCGGGCAACGCTAAGCAAAGGGAACGGGGAGGGGCCAATTTCCCTGGACTGGCTACTTGTTTTAGGAGCAGGGGTTACCCATCACTAGATTTATTTTCCAGTTCTAGAACTGGGGTCTACGCCTGGCAATAACCCAGTTTCTTCCAACTCCCTCTCCCTTGCGGGAAAGTGCGGGACCCAGAAGCGCAGCGTTTAGCATTAATCAGCAGGGGGCGCAAGGACGCCGCCCTGCCAAGTCCGCGCCAAACTTTCTGTCCTCCAACCCGCCCACTCCGCACATCCCATCCCCCAGCAGCCCAGCACCCCCGCGGTCCCAGGAAAACTGTCTAGCCTGTGCAGAAGGCAAACAATCTTTCCTTATGAATCATCCCACCGCCTTCCCGATCGCTTTTACATCTTGGGCTCCAAACCTTAGTTCGGCATCCCTATCTCATCTTCCCCATCTTCGACGTGATCTGCCCGTACCCGCGCCCAGATCCCCACTTTCCCCGTTGTACTCCACAGTGCACGCTCGGGATTTCCTCCTGTACCGTCTCAAAACGTGCTCTATTCTCACGTTCCACTCCCGGGAAGTGTTCATCCCAACCTCCACCCTAGGGTAAAGTCCCTCTTCTCCCAGGGTGCTGAAGAAGAGCCCCCGCCATGTCCCTTCTATCTCTGAGTTTCCAAAGCATCCCGAGTCTCTGTTTAAGCCCTGGATCAGGCTTAGGGCGCGGTACCAAGTAGCCTTGGACTCCCAAAAGTTTGGAACTTACTGTCTCCCTCTTGGTCGTTGACCTCGCCTTCCGTTTGGCCGTGCGTCAGGAGGGCGGTGGCCGCTAAGAGGAGCAGGAGCCGGAGGTCCACAAAGCTGAACATGTCTAGACCCTAGACATGTAGACTCTTTGCGGCTGGGGTGGGGGGTTAGCGACGGCTCATGCGTGGCCTCACACTCCGCGTGCCTCCTGCTCCGACCCCAAGGAGAAACTCCCGTCTGCTCCGACAACTGGCCCGGGCCCCTTTTATACGGTCCTGATGGAGTGCTGGGAGGAACCCTGCCCCTTAGAGAGGGGGAGCGGGCCGCCCGTCCCCCAGCCAATCAGAGCCGCCTGGCCCGGCCCCCAATTTGGAACGAAGAGGGGGAGGAGGAGGGAAAGGAAAGGAAGGGAGTCCACCCGACGTCTCCCCCCTTTGCAGCTCTGCCTCCCCAGCCCCCCAGCCCAACCTGGGCCAGAGGTGCTGCTGCTGGAGTGTTGCTGGGTCCTCAGTAGAGTGGGGGCTACAGAATGGATAGGGATGCCCCTTGCCTTTCTTCCCAGGACCTCCAATCTGGAGGAAGTTGAACTGGAAAGCTGAGTGGGGAGCCTTCCAAAGGTGGAGGGGTTGGGGGTGTTTAGGAGAGGGTCTTCCTGACCATACCTCATTAACTCTCCTCCTAGCCTTTGCAAGAGCTAAGGAATGGGTCTAGAGTGGCTAGCGAGGAGCCTCTACTGAACAGAAGAAACAGGGAATACAAAATATGGGCCCGTTATGGGGGTACCTCCTGGTGTGTCTGAGGGTATGGAAGTTAGGAATATTTGAGGACTAAATTAGATATTCCTTTATAGACATTAGGAATCAGATACTTGGAGGGGATGCTGGCAAGGTATTTTAAAAAATGTTTTTACATTTATTTATTTATTTATAGGGTGTCGGTTCTTCCTCCATGTCTGAAGTTCCAAGACAGCCTAAGACGACCATCCTCCTTTCCCCAGGCATGATGGAGTGGGTTGGGGTGGAGAGGCTGAGGTGCAGGGTGAGAAACTTGGCTGTGTCTCTCCAGAAGGAAGTTTGGTGTTGGGTGATGGGGCAGGGCAGCAGGGTAGGGGTGGGGGAGTACTTGGGACTCAGAGGTGTGGAGAAGGCTTTGCAGTCCCTTACAACTCACTCCCCTGGCTGGAACTGGGGGATGAGTATGTAGGGAAACGAGGCCTATGATCATTGATAACTTAGAAAAGGGTCTTGTGTCTGCCATGACTGTGGCCAGAGGCTAGTAAGCGACCCCTCCCCTCTGTACAGTCAATTCAGAGAGTTTGAGTGGAGGGCACTTGGCCAGGGAATGTGTCCTGGTAGCTGCGTAAAGCCTCTTCTCTGGAAGTACCTGACGTACTCAGGGTTGGGGACACATAGAAGAATTTGGGTGCCTGGGGAACCCGGCCTTTAGGGCTTGAGATGGAGGTAAGGGGGAAGTTGAGTGATCTTATTTTAGAGGTTACTTCTCATTGCCTCACCGCTTTCCTGAAAGCTCTGACCATTGCTCTCTGTTCCTAGGAAGCAGGGACCCTGGGAACAAGGGCAAATATTTGGAAATTAGCATCCTTCCTTCCCCTAGGTCTCCAACTCCTAACAGTACTCCGCCTCAACCCAATCTATCAGGGCCCTCATCTGCCAAAATCTATGGGTCTGAAAGGAGGCAACGGGGTCTCCTCATTGTGCCCCAAAAGCTCCCCTCCCTCCTATACCACTCCCCCACCCTCGTTGGTCTAGAGCTGCAAACGTGGAAGCAGGGAGTCCCTCCTCCCCCAAACCATCCAAGATTCCATTGCCTCCCCCCGCCCCTCTCCACGCCCTCCCCCAGCTGGTTTTGTGCAACGAAGGCAAAGGAAAAAAAAAAATAAAGACCAAGGGAACAGAAGGGGAGGGAGCCACGTCGTCGGCCTGCCGTGGGCAGCTAGGAGCAGTGCGGGTGGGGCAGCGGAGGGAGACAGCAGGGGCTATAATTAAAGGGAAAATATAGAGTTTCCAGAGAGGCAGGGCTGGAGACAGCAATGGAGGGACGGGACTTCATCAATTATCCCAACCATGTGGCAGTAACTTGTGGCCCAGGATCTGCCCCCGCCTAGTGCCAGCAACTACAGGGCAGACTGGGGGCTGAGGTGCTGAGATGGCAATTCCTAGACCCACCAAAGTTCTGAGCTCCACTTGGTCAGTTCCAAGCCCCCTCCTCAACAGAGGTCAAGGGCCCCATTCCCAGAAGGAACATTTGAAGTAGTTGTCCAGGGAAAGGTATGGCAGGACTCAAAGTAAGGGTTGGTGTGACTTGCCCACCTCCCTGCTTGGCGAGTTTACTTCCTGGAAAGGGCTTCTGCCCACAGCCCCCTCCCCACTTACTTCCTGTCTAGCCTCCTGTCCCAGGTACACCTTGGAGGAGAGGTGAAGCCTCACAGGTATGGATGGGAGTTGCTGTACCATGCACCTGGGGTTCTGCCAGATATTCAGGGACCCCTGGCATCGGGGCTTTGTGTGTGTGGTGGATGACAGCAGCTACCCCCAATGTCCAGGGTTTCCAAGCATCCTTTACACGTGGCACAGAGCTGAGGCCCAGGTCCTCCTCTGCCACTTCTTGACTTGAAACGCTTGGCGGGCACCCAGCCCAAAGATGTGTCTTTAATTTCTGCAGCATGACAGTGAGAGGAAGAATGTGCTTGGGGTCTCCTCCCAGCCTGGCTGGGCCTCCCTGGCCAGGGCTGAGGGCTGGAGACTGGGGGAGGGGGAGCTTGGGCTACAAGGGGAGGAGACGCCACCTCATCTTTAGGAAACTCTGAAGCTCTGGCTTCGTGTGGAATGTAGGATTTTTGTCCGGCACTTGGAGTTGGGGGGGGAGCAAAAGCCAGAATCTCCACCCCCCCCCGCCCCCAAGAATGGTAAAGTCATCAGCAGTTGGGGAAAAAAAAATCCTCAAGAAGAAAAACAGAAAGAGGAAAGTGCTGAGCTCTTGAGTTCTCTCCCTCTCCAAATTTTCCCAAGTGCCCCCCCAAAAGGGAGGGGAAGGCCTCCGGAGCTCCTCAGACCCCTGTCTGGACTCCAGTGATGTGGGACAGTGGGAGGAGCATGTCTGAAAAGGCAACGTCAAGGCACCTAGTGGGGACACACCCCGGCCCCAGCACACCTCTGCAGCTGCTCTGGCCCCCATTTGAGGTTTTGTTGTCTTTCTTCCCCACTCTGACCCTCCACTGTCCCCAGACTAGTGATGGAGAGAGGGTACCTACGAGAGGAAAGAGGAGGCTGCAGCAAAGACCCCAGGCACGAAGCTCTCCAGAATCCCCACGTGAAGTTCTGCACAGTTGAGGGAACCTGAGCAGAGTCTGGGGACAGACCCCAGGTGTGTGGGTGCCCCTCTTCTTCCCTCTCTTCAATATGGCCTCATCTGAGCCCTTCATTACGTCCCTTTGCTCCCGGTACAGCTCTGCTCTTCCTATACCTCCAGCCCAAGGGCCTCAGCCTCCAGAGATTTCCCTCCCCTCTCTCCCTCTTTTCTAGGTTTAGGGGGAAGATAATGAATTAAGTTTTGCTCATGTTGATTGTTCAATGCCTGTGAGACCTCCCATGTGAAATGTGGGGGAAATACTGGCACCTGGGCCTGGGGTTCAGAGGAGAGAGAGATGTGGGACTCCCAGGACCACAGTCATGGAAGAGATGGTGTGGATGGAGGTATCTCCAGAGAGAAAGTATGGACGGGGAGAGCCAGGGCTGGAGTGAGCTTGGAGGACCCTCAGGTTAAAGGGCTGGGTAGAAAAGAAGGCCACACAGAAGACAGGACAAGAGTGGCCAGAGAAGAAGGACGGGGAGGCAAACCCTGCAGGGAGAGCTCGCTTGATGGGGACTGCAATGTTCCCTGGACTCAGCCACGCGGAGGTGACCTGTGCCCCTAGTGCGAGCTGTTTTGGTGAAGAGATGGGCTAGGAAGCCGACTTCAGTGGGCTGAGGGTGTGTGGGACACCAGGAAATGGTCAGAGGACACGCAGCTCAGAGGAGGAGCTGGGTGAAAGGAACAGACAGAGGGGAATCTCTCCCTCCCTCCCTCTTGTTCTTCCTTGTACTCTTCCCCACCCCAGTCTTCCATTTTGGTCCCCTGTCACCCACTCTCTCTCTCCCCTGTGAATTTGTCTTTCTCCGTGCTTCTCCTCTCTGGACCTCTTTTTCTGGGTCTCTTTGCCTTTTTGCTTCACCTCCTCCTTTCCTTTTCTTCCAGGTGACCTGAGCCCTCAGCTGTCCACTGGGAGGCCTGGCCCCCACCTCTCCTCCTGAGCAAGCCTTCAGTCCAGGCTCCTGAAGAGAAGGCTTGATTTCCCACCCCACTCTCTGGAAGCACCCATTCAAGAGGGACAACTTGGGACAGAGGAATCAGGGAAGGATTTGGGACAGCTGAGAGAGTAGGGCTGCAGGGTGACCCCTGGGTGACACCAGCATTGCTTCCCAAGCCCACTCCAGCCCCTCCTCAAGTCCCAGCTGAGAGGGTGCTGGGTGGAGGATGTTGTCCGGCTTGGGGACCCCAGTCCCTGTTGCTCCTCTCTAGTCACCAAAACTGAGGGCCAGCCCCTGTCCTTCCTGCTGGAGTGAGAATCCACAGGGACAAGAGTCCTGTCGGCAGCGTCTCAGTCTGAAGGCAGAATGGGGTCTCCTGAAGGCTAGGATGAGCCACGTGACTGCATGTGCATTTTCTCCTTTCTGGTTTGGGTCAGTTCTGGGTTTGTTTTACTCCATTTCTGCTCAACTCCTCCCTGCCTTTCTTTTTTCTATTCTTTTGCCTTTTCTCGTCTCTCCCCACCCTCAACCTTAACCGTTGTCTTCTTCGAGTAGTTTTCTGATTTTTCTGTTTTCTCTCCCTCCACTTCTGCCCATGGTCCCACCCCTCCACCCACACACTCCTTTTTCTCCCTCCTTCTTTTCCTCTCATGTTCTCTTCCGGCGTCTGTCTGTGTTTCCGTGGCGGGCTCTGATTCTCTGGTGCTTCTACCCAGTCCTGGGGGGCGGTGCAAGACCTGCAGCCTCCCCACGTAGGATGCAGGATGCCGGGCGGGGCGGGCAGCTGCCTCCACCAGCAGCAAACTCAGAGGCAGGGCTGAGGGAAGGGTGGGGCAAGCCAGGAGGCCTGCATCACCACCAGATGTCCAGCTGAAGTGTAGGGGAATAAATGCAAAGGTTCCTTTGAAATCTAAATTGGAAAAATTTTTAAAAAGGGGAATAAT